CCCTGTCCGTCTGTCTGTCTGTCCGTCTAATTATAAATTCTCAAAATATTGCCAACACTGCAGCGCAACCCAAGCGTGATCGCCTGTCTATGTGCGTGTGTGTGCTTGTGCTTGTTTGTATGCGTGTGTGTGTGCCTAGAAATATTTCCTGTTTTTTTTTTTTTTGACTGACACCGCGGCCCCTAGAGCCTTGTTCAGTGTACCACTGATACTGGACTCATGTGTATCGATGTTATTTTAAAGCGTACGATAAACTATCATAGTAATTACACAGCAAAGCGGTAAACGTAGAGCTGACTTTTTTAAGCTGCGTTCCACTTGCAGAATTGAGATACGAGTGCGTATAAATTTTCTATATCGTCAATCATGTTTCTATACCAGTATGTAAATAATAAGACGTTATGAAAAGTTGCAATATTATGTGTGTTGAAAATGTTTAATTAATGAAAACAATTGTCCAATTGTCAACGTCACGCAAACACAACTCCAGTTTGCGTAACATGTTCAAAAGAAAAGCTTTCTAGGTCACAGATGGCGATGCCGATGTCGATTCCATTCGACGTTTGTCGCATTACAACAGCAGCATTCCGAAAAGGTCGATGGGGTTACGTATGTGTATGTGTATATAAATGTGTGCGTCTGTGAGTCCAGCTTCGTATTTCATATGCGAGTATACGTTAATGTTGTACAAATGCCTTTTGGCCCAGATTGTGAAGCACTGCTCTGTGGGTCCTAGCCAAAAAGTGACAACCGGCCAATAGACTGAAATTGCACAGATTGCAAGTATCAAGCATAAAAACTGCCGAACGTATTAAGTAGCGCCTGCGACGTGTGTTGCTGTTGCTCCCGTCCCTGAGCCGCCATCGCCGCGACGTATGGCTATAAATTAGAGCAGAGCGAAAAAATGTAAGCAAGCTTCTTCGCAGCCGGCGTCGCCGTCGACGGCGCCGTCTAAGCCTTAGCCTGCGTCTGCGCCTGCCCTCACCTCTTCCATTCAGTGAGTTGCGCCTGCGCCTGTGCCTGCAGCGCTACCAACCGCAAACTGGCTTTAAGCAAACGCTCAACAGCAAGCTCAGGCAGCTTGGTGGGCTTAGGCGCTGCGCAGCTCGGTTGCTCTGTTACTCAGTTACTCAGCTGCTCAGCTGTTCAGTTGCTGTGGCAGTCCATGTCGATTCGTTATAAAAGCCCAAAAATCAACGGCTGGCCAGTTAGTTTGCCGCCGACAGCAACTTGGGTACTTGGTTTTGGTCGAAAGAGATTTACCCAACGGATCGTAATCTAATCCAGCTGTCGACTAAGAGCTTGGTGCTCATCTATGAGCAGGTGTTGAGTGGTGTTGTGTGGCCAATTGAGCTGCAAATTTGCTATATCGAATCAAACCAAATCGAATTAAATCAAAATATTTCTTGCCAATATCAATATACGATACCTAACATATGCCCAACTGAGCGTGGAATTTACTATTCAGATTTGCCAATCGGCGAATAGCGAATACTAGGTGCTCGTAGACATATATTTAAGGTGTTGCATATCGCGATTTATTAAAAGTGAAAGATATATAACTGTTTCAAGCGAAAATAAACACAAATTGCTGAACTGAGAGAGAGGAGAGAAGTTTAGCATGGTAAGTGGCAGAACTTAAGGCTATAAACACATAATTATAAATAAAAAATAATTATTTTATTTTAATGAATCAATTATCCACATGCTTCAAATATTTCTAAATATATACAATAAGTATTTTTGAGGCGTGTTATTGGAAAAATGGATTGTTAATAAATTAAAAATATCTCGAATTTTTCAACTATTGCTGAAAAGTAATATCTCTTAAGGTTAAGGACTGTGATCATTTTTAAATTTTACAGAAAGACAAAGAAGAATTATAAAATGCATTAAAGGAATTCGTACTTTTATACACACAATTTTTATATGGTTCAAAATACCTAGACTTGAATAACCGATAATCTGACTTCTGTTCATTTTCTGGCTAGTACAAAATTCGCAAATAATAAGATAAGACGGCTTTTATGTCGCCTTGATGCTGACCACATTATGGTCGGACACGTAGCACTTTCGCAAGTGACTTGAACTGCTTGAGTGTGTAAAATAAATGTGTGTGTGCACTCGTTTAGTGTCTGTGCATATATAATTTGAGATTATTTGTTAATCTGACTCTAACTATGCATACCAGTTTATGTTGGCCGCCTTTAATGGCTTATTTAAAACCAAATTACAGACCATTGTTTATGCGATACCAGCTCAGCTCTTAGCCGTACACTAAAACACACACACAGCTTTGAAAGTAACATAATAATTGTGATTGTGTTAAAAATTGCTTTTGTGTTTTTTTTCCTAATATTAAAGGCTAAGTATTGTAATTAATTTAAGGTAGCAAACGGATGACCTTCATAGTTGAATTCGTTTTCGTTTTTGTGGTGCTTTTGTATGGCTGTCCTGAATTGAGGGGCGTGAAACTATCACAAAATGAATCTTCGAATTCCCTTTCATGCCTACCCCTGTCCCGTACCTCTACCTCCCCCTGCCCCTCACACCTCGCCCCATCTTTATTAATAGATCAGGCGTTTTGGTGCATGGCCGCAAATCGACGCCATCTGATTATATCGGTTACGCCCCATTGTTCAGCATCGGCTCTAGGCAAGCCAGTATTGTAAGAATTTTCAATAGTAATCAATGCAGACAGTCACCAACGCTTAGCAGCAACCATAAATTATTTACTGCCATTATATACTGGCATATTTGAATTTTTCAAGTGGGGCCAACTGCTGACAGTGGCCAAAGCTAAAGCTAAATGTCGGTTACACTGCCATTGGCTCGATTTTGTTTGCGAGCTATTTGCATAGAAGGCGGCTTACTACTCAGTAGCACTGTGGACTCATTTAAAGGCATGTGGCCTAGCCAGGCGTTAAGTTCGGTGGCTGCAGGTCCTGCCGGCCGCTCATACACCCATACTTTCTCTTGGTCGCCAATTAGCTCTCACTCTCTCTCTTTCTCTCTCTCTCTCTCTCTCTCTCTCTGTCCGCTGGTGGAGTCTTGGAGCTAGTTACGCAACTTAATTATGACGATTAATGATATACAAACATCATTATAGCCGACTTGGTGTGTGTGTTGGCTTGTGTACTTATGCGCGAGTATAACCACAATTTGACGACTTGCCATTCACTTGCCGATTACATTCAGTTCAGTTCACTGGCTATATACATACATATATTCGAACCAGCACCAAAACCAAAACCAAAACCCAAAACCCAGAAGTCAGATATGTAAATGCAGCATAGGCCATTGAACGGGTTATGTGTTATACCTACATTTGCTCCGAAACTCATTTAGACTAAGCGATTAATAATCAGATGCTTCACAATAAATATTACATGTGATTAGGTCGTTTTTTACTTTTTTTTTTTTTTTTTTTTGTTGAATCACATCACGTCATCTCTGAGCGTAGGAAACAATGGCATAGCTCTGCTATTGGATAAAACTCCCACAAAGGCTAACCGAAGATTGGGGATTGTTTTCGAAAACTCAGAGTTACATTATTTCTGATGCATTGTTTTTCCGGTTTTCAATCATTTTGCTATGCTGTCGGCAATAATTGTTGAAGTACATATCTGTACATATAAAAATATAAGTATACTTTAATGCTCGCCGACATAAGCCATAAGGGTACCTTTCCCATTCGGTTCCACATGTCCACTTATCTCGACATAAACCTTAAATGGATCTATTCGAACACAAATTTGGACAAATTTGGAAAATCAAAACGTCATAAAAATAACTAAATGGTAATAGGTAAACGCAGAACTCTGCAATATGCAGTTAATCGTGCCAAACACTGGAATCCAATAGTTTAATTAAATAGTTTATTCCAATAGTTAATTAAATATTCTATTTAATCAAGTAACTCGTATATACCTTCGTATATAGCTTCGCCGACTATAGTATGGCAATAAAATAAAAAATATTTCCCAAGGAGTTGAATTTGCAAACTATAAACTCCTTGCTGACCACTAGACTTTCATATTTTCTCTTTAGTGACCGTGAGCGCCCGACTCTAAGATTGCTGCCTGTTTGTTTCTTATTTTATTCCGTATATTGATAGAAACCTATATCAAGTATGAATTTCGTAATCTCTGTTATTAAAAAAAAAAAAAAAAAAAAAAAAAAAAAAAAAAAAAAAAAAAACAGATACACACAGATGCACTCATTACAAATGGATCTTATCCGATTTTGCAGGTAAATGGACTGATGATGTTTTATATGAGCGACGGAAGT